GCACAACCATAGCCCACTGCAATCTCGAACTCTCAAGCAACCCTCCAACCACAGCCTCCTGAGTAGCTAGGACTATAGGCATGCACCACTACACGCAGGTAATTTTTTAATTTTTTGTAGTGAAGGTGTCTTGCTATGTTGGAGCCTCAGCCTCTCAAAGCGCTGGGTTTACAGGTATGAGCCACCAAGCCCAGCCTATTTCCCAGCTTTGTAGATTGTAAATTTATAAGAGATGTTGCACCATTTTCTACCGCAGTATCATATGATGGTGAAAGTTTCCAATTACCAGTTATCAAAATGCCCTTTCCAAAGCAGAAGTATTTTTGGAAAAGTAGTTATTTTCTCATTCCTTGAGAGAAAAATGCTGGCATGTTCTTGAAGGGATATATCTTGTGGGGGGTTTTCCCCAATAATATCTGTTAGGTAGCATACTACTGAAAACCTTTTGTGAAAACCTTTGTTATCACAGAAAAAAATTCAGCAGAGTAGACACCCATCTGTTCATGAAAGAAAAATGTGGCCGGATGTGGTGGCTCACACGCCTATAATCCCAGCACTTTGGGAGGCAGGGGCTAGAGGATTGCCTGAGTCCATCGGTCCAAGATCATCCTGAGCAATTTGGCAAGACCTCGTCTCTATAATAAATTTTTTTTTTTTAATTAGCTGGGATGGTGGCACATGCCTGTGTTTCCAGCTTCTTGGAAGGCTGAGGCGGAAGGATTGCTGGAGCCCAGCAGGTCGAGGCTGTGGTGGTCGTGAGAGTGCCACTGCACTCCAGCCTGGGCGACAGAGTGAGAATCTGACTCAAAATAAATAAATTTTAAAAAAGGAAAAATGCATAAATGAGTCTGAATCAATAGCTCTTCTAAGTAATTTACCATAAAATAATCACCAAATCTATTTGTGGTTTTTGTGATAACTCCCTAACTCAGGATGTCCTTTACTACTTTTAAAGGTTACTCCTCCACTTATTTAACCAAACACACACAGACTGTAATAAATCCTACAACATGAAAGTAAACAAGCCAGTGAGGGCTTTCAGTTCTTCTGTGTGGTGGAAATCCCACCCTGCCCCCAGAAAACTGCACATATTTAAGTGACACATACAGACCAAAAGGGTCCTATGTCAATGTGGTGTATCACATTTCTTGCTGTGTTTTTTATTTTCTTTTTACCATACATAGGATTCTGCTTGATAGATTCTTTTTACCGTACATAGGATTCTGCTTGATAGATTTCTTGCTCACTTTTTAGAAATAAATTGATTGGTAAAGAGCATCTACAGAAAACCTCCAGCTAAAAATTATACGTGAAAGACTAATTGCTTTCTGGCTAAGACTGAAAACAAGGCAAGGATATCTTCTTCTCACTCTTTTTAAATATAGTACTGAAAGTGCTACCCATCACAATAAAACAAGAAAATCAAACAAAAGGCATACAAACTGGAAAGGAAAAAATAAAACTGTCCCTACTTGTAGATGACATGATGATTTGTAGGTGACATGGAAAATCCCAAGGTATCTAAAACAAAACAAACAAAACCTAGAACTAAAACATGAGTTCAGCAAGGTTGCAAAATATAAGAACAGCATACAAAATCAATTGTATTTCTATATACCAGCAATGAACACATGGACGTTGAAATTAAAAATACAATACAATTTAGATATAAATAAAAGACATACTGTGTTCATGGACTGAAAGAATCAACAGAGAATAAAGATGTTAATTCTCCTCCAAATTGATATACAGATTATTTTTTTTGTTTTTGAGTTGGAGTCTCACTCTTTTGCCCAGGCTGGAGTGCAGTGGCACACTCATGGCCACCCCAGCCTTGACCTGCTGGGTTCAGGCGATCCTTCCGCCTCAGCCTTCCAAATAACTGGAATTACAGGCACAGGTCACCACACCTGGCTAATTTTTTGGTATTTATTGTAGAGATGAAGTCTTGCCAAGTTGCCCAGGCTGATCTCAAACCCATGGGTTCAGGCAGTCCTCTCACCTCAGCCTCCCAAAATGCTGGAATTATAGGCACAAGCCACTGCACCCAGCCAATATACAGATTTAATGCAACTTCTATCAAAATCCTAGCATGAATTTCTGTAGATATAGACAGGAATATTGTAACATTTATATGGAAAGGCAAAGGAATTAAAATAGCTAAAACAATTTTGAAAATGAAGAATAAAGTGGGAGGAATCACCCTTAACTTATCTCAAGACTTATTACATAGCTACATTAATCAAAACCTGTGGTATTGTTAGAGGGGATAGATACATAGATCAATGGAATAAAAAGAACTCAGACTAGCCCCCACACAAATACAGGCAACTGATTTTTAACAAAGGTGCAAAAACAATTCAATGAAGGAAGAATAGCTCTTTCAATAAAGTGTTCTGGCATGACTAGGTATCCATAGGCCAAACAAAGAGCACATCAATCTAAATCTCACACCTGATATAAAAATTAACTCACTCAAAATAGACTGCATATCTAAATGTAAAGCATAACTTTTAGAAGATAACGTAAGAGAAGATCTTCAGGAACAGTGAAGAATTTTTAGGACATAACTCAAAAACAATCCATAAGAGGAAAAGCTGATAAACTGGACTTCATCAAAATTAAAAATTTGTGTTCTGTGAAGGGCCCTGTTAAGAGGATAAAAAAGCCAGGCATGGTGGCTCATTCCAGTAATCCCAGCAGAGTCCAGGCATTTGAGATCAGCCTGGGCAACTTGGCGAGACCTCATCTCTACAAAAAATTAACTGGGCATGGTGGCACGTGCCTGCGGTTCCAGCTACTTGGAAAGCTGAGATAGAAGGATCATCTGAGCCCAGCAGGTTGAGGCTGCAGTGGCCGTGAGTGTGCCACTGCACTCCAGCCTGGGCAACAGTGAGACTCCTATACCCCCTCCAAAAAAAGACCATGATGAGATTACCCACCTATGATCACAGGCAAAATAAAAAATACTGACAACACAAAATGCTGGTGAATATGTGGAGAAACTAAATCTGAATCACTTATATTTTGTTGGGAGGAATGTAAAACGGAATAGGCATTCTAGAAAATATTCTGGAATTTTCTTTGAGAATGAAATATGCCACTATTATATGACCTAGCAACAGTGACTTTGAGCATTTATCCTAAAGAAATAAAAACTTGTGTTCACAAAACTCTGTACTTATGTTCATAAAAATATATACACAAATGTTTATAGCAGTGTTATTCCTAACAGCCAAAAACTGGAAATAACTCAAATGTCCTTCAATGAATGAATGGTTAAACAAGCAGAGGTACATTCATGTATGGAATAAATACTCAGCAGTAAAAAGAAATGAACTATTGATACATGCCACAACCTAGATAAATCTCCAGAGAATTATGCTTAGTGAAGAAAATCCATCCCACAGTCTATATACTAGGTTGTTCCATTTATATAATATTCTTGAAATGACAAAATTATCGAAATGGAGAAAAGATTAGTGGTTGCTGGCAGGAGGGAAGAGGCATAACTATCAAATGGAAACATGAGGGATGCTTGTGGTGCTAAAAATGTTTTGTACCCTGACTATATCAATGTGGATATCCTAGTTATGACCCTGTACTAAAGGTTTCCAAGATGCTACTATTGGGGTAAGTGTTTAAAGACTATATGAGATCTCTAGGCATTGTATCTAGCAACTTCATGTAAATCTACAATTATTTCAAAATAAATAGCTTAATTCTTTTTTTTCTGAGTCGAGGTCTCACTCTGTCACCAAGGTTGGAGTGCAGTGGCATGATCACAACAATCACAGCTCATAGCAGCCTTGACCTCCTGGGCTCAGGCAATCCTTCCATCTTAACATCCCTAGTAGATGGGACTATAGGCATGCACCACCCCACCTGGCTAATTTTTTTTCTTTTTTTGTAGAGATGAAATCTCGCTATGTTGACTAGGCTGGTCATGAACTCCTGGGCGCAAGCAATTCTCCCCCCTCAGATCCTAAAGTGCTGGAATTACAGGGGTGCACCATTGAACCAGGTGCAAATTTGTCTTTTTTCTTTTTCTTTTTCTTTTTTTTGAGTTGGAGTCTCACTCCGTTGCCCAGGCTGGAGTGCAGTGGCACGCTCACGGTCACCCCAGCATCGACCTGCTGGGCTCTGGCAATCCTTCCACCTCAGCCTTCCAAGTACCTAGAACTACAGGTGCATGCTACCACACCCGGCTAATTTTGTAATTATTCTAGAGACAAGGTCTCGTCAAGTTGCCCGGGTTGGTCTCGAACCTCCGGGCTCAGGCAATCCACTCACCTCGGCCTCCCAAAGTGCTGGGATTACAGGCTGAGTCACCAAATCTAGCCATTTGTCTTTCTTAAATACAAATCTGATCATGTCACTTCTCAAAATCTTTAGTCTGACACGTAAGGGCCTTCATGTTCTGTCTTTAGGCCCTTGCCAAATTTGCACCAGTACACCAAACAACTTGCAGTTATCAATTGTGCAGGACCCTGTGTGAGTGTGAGATACCTGAAGATAGGCACAATGATTTGTCATCATGTGCTTATGTTGCTTCTAATTAAAATATTTCCAAGCCAGGCTAGGTGGCTCAACCTGTAATCCCGCACCTTTGGGAGGCAGAGGTGAGTGGATTGCCTGAGCCTGCGGGTTCATGACCCGCCTGGGCAGCAAGACCTCATCTCTACAATAAATCAAAAAATCAGCCGGGCGTGGTAGCGCATGCCTGTAATTCCAGCTACTTGGAAGGTTGGGGCGGAAGGATCGCCGGAGCCCAGCAGGTCGAGGCTGCGGTGGCCGGGAGCGGCCACTGCACTCCAGTCTGGGCGACAGAGTGAGACTCCAACTCAAAAAAAAAAAATATTTCCAATGTTTAGCATGTTCCCTAGCACATATTAGTAAGTGCAGTTAACACTGACTTGAATAAGAAGCCTACTCTAAATGTTATAATCTATGCTTATAACACAGAGGTGCTGATTCTGTGTTACTCTCAGAACACTGACCTGCAATCACTCCTGCCAGGTACACCAGGCCCACTCGGAGGCCTTTATGGACCATTTCCAAGGGAATACCTAAAATGAGCTGCATTAAAAGATTCCCGACGATGTGCTGAACTCTGCAGAGACAAACAACAATTGTCAAATATTACAACTAAACAAAGCAATTATTTTCTTGAAAGACTAACAGACTTTGATGTGTTGTTTCTAGTTAAGGACTTGCCTACCTAGAATTCCATTTCCATTCCAATTCTTTTAGCGAGCAACTCTTTTTTTTCTTTTTTTAATAAAATATTATATTGAATTTCAATGTGTAAAACAAATTAAAGGGCATTTTGGAAATATAAATGTATTTTATAAGTTCTGTTTTGTAACAATTACTTATAACGTCAAATAGATCAGTGAAGCTGGTTTAAGGAACATAAACTTGAAATTAGGGAGTTTGGATGACAATTACCATCTTATATCAGCCTCAGCATATAATGGTGTTTCCATTGCACTGTTTTGAGACAACCCTAATCACTCATATTGAATTTAAATTTCAATAAGTTTGTAAACAGCCTGTCTTGCAATCTCAGGTTTTTCTTTTTCTTTTTCTTTTTTTTTTTTTTTTTTTTTGAGTTGGAGTCTCACTCTGTCACCCAGACTGGAGTACAGTGGCCGCTCCGGCCACCGCAGCCTCTACCTGCTGGGCTCCGGCGACCGCCTCAGCCTTCTGAGTAGCTGGAACTACAGGCGTGCACTACCACACCCGGCTCATTTTGATTTATTGTAGAGATGAGTTCTCGCCAAGTTGCCCAGGCAGGTCTCGAACCCGTGGGCTCAGGCAATCCACTCACGTCAGCCTCCCAAAGGCGCGGGATTACAGGCTGAGCCACCAAGCCCGGCTCTTTTTTCTTTTTAAAGGCTAGTCAAATGAAGCAGCAGGAGTAGAGAAGGAACAAAGAAATCTGATCAGTTAGTTTCAACACCACTACACTTAGACCTGCCTGTGAGGATATTCTTTAATAAAACAGAGATGGCAAGAGAAACATCATTCCCAGTTCTACATAAAAAAACTTTACCTAGTAACACTAACTGAAGTTGGTATCTCCTAGGACCACAATTTGACATATAACATTTAAATATAGGGTTTTTAAATTTTTTTATTTACTTTTAATTTTTAAAAGAGAGGGCCTTGGTCGCTCAGGCTGGAATGCAGTGGCGCTATTATAGCTCACTACAGCCTTGAACTCTTGGTGCTCAAGCAATCCTCCCACCTCAGCCTCCTAAGAAATCCAACTGCCCCGGGCTCGGTGGCTCAGCCTGTAATCCCACGCCTTTGGGAGGCTGAGGTGAGTGGATTGCCTGAGCCCGCAGGTTCGAGACCCTCCTGGGCAACTTGGCAAGACCTCATCTCTACAATAAATAAAAAGAAAGAAATCCAACTGCAGGCACATATCACCATGCCTGGCTAGTTTTGTTTGTTTGTTTTTTGTACTCTTTGTAATGATGGGATCTTGCTATGTTGCCCAGACTGGTCTCAAACTCCTAGCCTCAGGGGATCCTCCTACCTCAGCCTCCCAAAGTCCTGGAATTATAGATGTGAGCCACCACACCTGGCTAAAATCCATTCTTTCAAGTCCAGGGTTGGGTAGGTTGCATAGACAAGGTTAGCCTCACCTGAAACCATGAGTCCATCAGAGAGGTGAGGCCAGCATAGGCTGTTTGCTGTCTGCAACGGGCACAGTGGGTCATGGATGCTAAGTGAGGTCATGAAAGGCTATTGGCATTTAAGAAACTATAAGCAAACTAAAAGGCGGGTGCCGCATCTCCTACTGCTAGTATTATTCCAGATGGATAACAGTTTTACATACTCATCAATATGTTCATGAACTAAATTTTTTTAAGTGTGTGGTGGGGGGGTGGGGACTGGTGATTCAGCGTCACCATTTCATAACTTAAAGGGAACATTTAACAATATCAAGCCGGGCTCGGTGGCTCAGCCTGTAATCCCGTGCCTTGAGAGGCTGAGGTGAGTGGATGCCTGAGCCGCCGGTTCGAGACCCGCCTGGGCAACTTGGTGAGACCTCATCTCTACAATAAATCAAAAAATTAGCCGGGCGTGGTAGCGCGCACCTGTAGTTCCAGCTACTTGGAAGCCTGAGGCAGAAGGATGGCTGGAGCCCAGCAGTCGAGGCCACGGTGGCCGGGAGCGGCCACTGCACTCCAGTCTAGGCGACAGAGTGAGATTCCAGCTCAAAAAAAAAAAAAAAATCAAACAACTAGGGGAGCATACTCTGGTTTGATGATGATTTGGTCTCATTAACATTCCTGTATAAATACCAATATTCATCAGCAAGGGTGCCTGCATAATCAACGTTTGTTCACCTAACACTGAATTGTACCCCACATCTTTATAATAAAAAAAATAAACAAATAAAATTAAATTTTAAAATTAAAATAAATAAATAAATACCAATATTAGGCAGTTATAACACCACATAAAGTCCACTGCCCTTAGAGTTGGCACTAGTGGGTTGAGGTCTAGCTCTGCAACTTAGCTGTGGGTCTTGGAACACATGACTATCCTCTAGGCCTCAGGCACAAAACAACGGGAGCAATTAATACCTGCCTCCTAGGGTTGCTGTGAGGGTCAGACAAGATTATGGACACAAAAGCACCGAACAAATGTTAGAGTCTGACACTAGTGACTTAGCCATCATTACTTACCCAGCATGTACTAGCATGTATGAGACGAACCTCCAGGCTTGCTCCCTCTTCTTGGGGCTGTAGATAAACGGACTCTCCAAGATGCCTGTGTCCAGGGTGATCCACTGTTTCTGAGGTTTCCACACAGCATAGTAAATAAACACTGCAAGCTGGTCAGGAGGAGCACACATGAGTGACAACCACACCTTCTCCAGAATGGCCCTGTTGAAGCCCATGAGCAGTAACTTTGTTTTATATGGTTCAGCTCCCAACTGGGCTGCTCTATAGCGTGGGCTCAGATGACAGGAATTACATTTTCATCCTCTGCTGTGGCCACATCACTTCTTCCAGTGGTCAGAAACGCCCAGCCCATGTTGTAACAACTCCTTCCCCCCTCACGGACACTCTCTGGTTCTGTGTTCTCTACCACCCTTCCCATCTTAAATATTCACTGTCCTCATCGTCCCACCCCCCACCATTTCATCTTTCATTTACAAATTAGCATGAAAGTAAGTCAATGCTGGCTTCCAAAAAGTAGAGTAAGGAGCTGAGAGCGATGGCTCACACCTATAATCCCAGCACTTTGGGAGGCTGAGGTGAGAGGATTGCCTGAGCCAACGGGCTCGAGACCAGTTGGACAACTTGGTGAGATCTCATCTCTACAATAAATCAAAAAATTAGCCAGGCATGGTGACACATGCCTGTAGTTCAAGCTACTTGAAAGGCTGTGGTGGAAGGATCACCTGAGCCCAGTAGGTCGTGGCTGCAGTGACCGGGAGTGTGCCACTGCCCTCCAGCCTGGGTAACAAAGTGAGACTCCAACTCAAAAAAAAAAGTAGAGTAAGGAAAGGGAAAAATAGTAACCTGACAGGGGAGAGACCTAGCAAACAAAGCCTTAACCAAGAGATGAAGTGAATGCCCCAGTGGTATCATGTGATGTCCTCTATCCCCTGATGAGATGAGATGAGAAGTGCACATCACCTCTGTGATATCCGCTCCTCAAACCCATAACTCCAGTCTAATCAAGAGAAAAACAATAGACAAACCCAGACTGGAGGACATTCTACAGGATACCTGGATAGCCCTTCCCAAGACTACCAAAGTCATGAAAAACAGAGTCTAAGAACCCATCCCAGAGCAAAGGAGCCTAGAGAGACATGACAACTAAATGCAATGTAATACCCTGATTGGGAGGATGCCAGAGGAACAGAAAGCGGACATTATCAGAGAAACTGGTGAAATCCAAATAAAGTCTGGAGTTGAGTTAGTAGGAATATGCCAATGTCAGTTTCTTTGTTTTGACAAATGTTCTATGGAAATGTAAGATATTAACAGTGGGAGAGGCCAGGTGCAGTGGCTCATGCCTGTAATCCCAGGACTTGGGGAGACCAAGGCAGGAGGGTTGTTTGAACCCAAGAGTTTGAGACCAGCCTGGGCAACAAAGCAAGACCTTGTCACTACAAAAAAATCAAAGTTAGCCAGGCATGATGACGTGCACCTGTAGTCCCAGCTACTTGGGAGGCTGAGGAGGGAGGATAGCTTGAGCCCAGGAGGTTGAGGCTGTGGTGAGCCATGACCATGCCACTGCACTTCATCTTAGGTGACAGAATGACATCCTGACTCAAAAAAAAAAAAGAGGGAGTCTTCTGGGATGCTTACACCTTAGCCTTATCTTTATCCAAGCTATAAGAGGCTTGGTCTCTGCAACAGTTCATTTTATGTGTCAATTTGGCTAGGCTATGGTACCCAAGTATTTGCTCAAACATTATTCTAGATGTTTCTTTGAGGGTATTTTAAGATGAGAATCAGTAGACTTTGAGTAAAGCAGATGTCCCTCTGTAACATGGGTAAGCCCCATCTAATCAGTTGAAGCCCTCTCTAGAAAAAAAATTGTCCTTCATTAGGATAAGAGAATTTTGTCAGCAGAACACCTTTGGACTTGAACTGCAACTCTTCCCAGGGTCTCCAGCCTGCCAGTCTTCCCTGCAGATTTTAGACTTGCCAAGCCTCCATAATTGAGCCAATTCCTTAAAATAAATCTCAAATCTCAATCAATCTCTCTCTCGCTCTCTACACACACACACACACAAACACACACACACTCACACCACCATCGATTCTGTTTTTCTGCAGAACTCTGACCAAAACAGTCCCTGATAAGGAAGGATTACATTAGGGACTTCTTAATCCCCTGAAGTCACACCCCACAGGGAGTCATGCTCTGCCAATCCCTTTGTGAGACAGTATGGTATGGGAGAAAAAGGCAGATGTCATGAAGTGCATACAAAAGAGCCTAGTGCTGGCCCAGTCAATACTATGTGACCTTGGACAAGTCATCCTACCTCTCCGAGTCTTGCACTCTTTTCTGGAAAACAAGAAGGCTGGCTAGATCAGAGTCTGAAAACACACCACATGCTGCCCAGAGGAGATATTGTTAAGAGATCCCATTTTTTTCCTGCTGAAACATTCCGAGGCAGCCCATAATTCTTCTAGACATGTGGCCCCAGACAGGCCTTCCCAACCAATCTGAGTTGATTCATGACATAGGGCCCATTGCAACCCCAAGGTTATGTGCTTTCTGAAAACCCCACAGCTAAAATGAAAGGAACTGATGAAAGTGTAGTCACTGCTGGGTAGGGGATTTGTCTGACAAATGAAACTCAGTTGAGTGATCAGGAACATAGGGAAAGCCTGCAAAGCAGCTCTGGAGAAGGTCGAGCTGGAGGTTCGGTGTATACTGTCCCTGCTCCCGCCAAGCTCTTCCCACGTGTTCCCAGTCTTCTCTAGATCTAGATCTCACCCCCAGTTTACTTGTAACCCTCTATGCAACTTACACCAGTGCCCACCACCACCCTACTCACCTCGGCCAGACTGATGGAGATGATGAACAGAGGAGGTGGGAAGCAGTTAGCTCTCTCCAAGTAAGTTCCTCGGGCTGCTTCAGGAAGCATCCATTTCGAGACAATCCTGTGGACCTTTCTGCTCTTGGCAGGATCTTGACCTCGCCGGTCCTCTCTCGTTTTCTCCTCTTCCTCCATCTCTTCTTTCATCTCTCTCTCTATATTCAGATTCACACTCTCCATTTCCAGATCGTGAGCGGCAGCCATTTTCCTGGGTTCTCCCTCCACCTGAGAAGGACATGAATGCCAGGGTGACACTATGTTCTCTAGGCTGTGGCTCTTTCCTGAGCTGTCTGGCACAACCGTTGGTTTCTAAGGTCTTTCCTGTGTGTTAAGAGAAGGCAGTTGAAGGCTATCAAAATGGCCTAAAGTCCCTAAATAGTCCAAAATAAAATTTGCACTGTCATTACTTTAAAAAGCATGGGCTGTGGAGCCAAATAACCTGGGATTAAAACATGGCTCTACCATATGTCACCTGTAAGGTAACCTCAGATAAGTCACTCAAATTCTCCAAGCCTCAAATTACATATATATATATTTTGTTTTGTTTTGTTTTGTTTTGTTTCTTTTCTTTTCTTCTGAGTTGGAGTCTCACTCTGTCACTGAGGCTGGAGTACAGTGGCACGCTCAAGGCCACCGGAGCCTCAGTCTGCTGGGCTCAGGCGATCCTTCCACCTCAACCTGCCTAGTAGCTAGAACTACAGGCATGCTTTTTTTTTTTTTTTTTTTTTTTTAGTAAAGGTCTCACTCTGTTACCCA